GAACAGACTATTTATTTATAGTTTTCTTTTTCTATAAAAAATACTAGTGGGATAGACAACTGGCAAAATTTGAATAAGATCATAGACTAGATCATGGTATTGTATGAGTGTTGTTTCAAATTTGCTAATTATACTGTGAATACTATGATATTTGTACTCTGTTTTGAGGAAATACCCTGAAAAATATTTAGGCATACATAGATAAAAATAATTACATTAGTCTCTTCAGATACCTGTACCTCTACAGAGACAGAAGAAATGTGAGGTATGAGTGAAAGGTAAATGGGATATTTTTGGTGCTATTTTTACATTTTTTTCTTTGAAATTGAAATTACTTCAAAATTAAAAATAAAAAATGGTTGGGCATGGTTGCAGATGGCTGTAATCCCAGCATACTGAGGCAAGAGGATTTGAAATGTAAGGCCAGCTACACAGACAGGCCCTGTCTCAAAACAAAAACAACAAAAAAGAAGAAAAGAAAAAAATTTAAAACACCTCACAAATATGTAACATTTTGGACAAATTCTAAATATTATGATTAAATATTTTATAAAAGTATAAAAAGAGGGGCTGGGGATTTAGCTCAGCGGCATAAGCGCCTGCCTTGCAAGCAGGCAGTCGTGAGTTCGATCCCTGGTACTGATAAAAACAAAACAGACAAAAAAAAAGTATAAAAAGCATAATTGGGATCATTAACACTTTTTTTGATACTGAATCATGAACAGTTTTCGATGTCATTTAAAATTCTTTAAAAACAATTGTTAATGGACTCATAACATTTCCTTGTGTGGAGGTACTGTAATTTACTTTGTTTACGGTTTCTTTACTTTTTTTTTTTTTTTTTTTTTTGTACTGGGGATTGTACTCACAACCTTGCATTTGCCAAGCAGGCACTTACACCACTGAGCTAAACCCCCAGCCCTTCTTTACATTTTTACAGTATAACACAAACATCTTTTTTTTTTTTTTGTCTTTTTCTTTTTTATCGGTACCAGGGATCGAACTCACGACCGCCTGCTTGCAAGGCAGGTGCTTATGCCGCTGAGCTAAATCTCCATCCCTCAAACATCTTTTTCATGTATTCTTTTCCACACATTTGACTACTTCTTCATGTTTGATTCCTAAAACAGGAATTGCTTCATCCTTTTTTAAATGACTAAAGTGACCTAACAAGTTCCTAAATATTCCTGCTTTATTGACTTTTGGCCTCATTTAGGTTCATCTGTTCGGTAACAGACTATGAATTCTGGGTTTGACTCTGCACAGTGGTTGGTGAAGACAGAGGATGACAGAGGACAGATCATCTGTAGTTGGTGGCAGCAGCAGGGTAGGCTCAGTTCTGGGGCTACATCTGCTGAAAGGACTTAGTTTTGGTAGGTCCTGAAGATTAAGAAGAAAGCCTAAAATGTCACTGAACAGATGGCATGCAGGCTAGCTAGATACATGAGACTCAGTTCATACCAACTATCAACATCGTAAAAATAATTTGGAGGCTGGTCCGATGGCAGTGGGTTATCAGAACTTATTAACATTAGTGTCACTAAAGTTGGTATACCACCCCCCCCCCACTGCTAAATTTGACTGGCTTAAAAAAAAATTTGGAGATGGTTCATGAGAACAGATGGATGAGATGGTGGGGGATGTTGGGGAGCTCCATATCACAGAAATCTCTTTTGAGTAAGAAACCTGCTAGGGAGCACCCACTCTTTGAAGCTTGGCTTTCATCAGTATGTCAACGGTGTTTTTTTTTTTTTTTTTTTTTTTATCTCTGTTGTACCCCGGTTTGTCCCATTACCTATACCATGTTTTTTAATCTGCTAAGTTGAAGGCAGAAAGTACCATACATGGAAGTCTTTTTTTTTTTTTTTTTTGTCTTTTTCATTTTTATCGGTACCAAGGATCGAACTCATGACCGTCTGCTTGCAAGGCAGGTGCTTATGCTGCTGAGCTAAACCCCCAGCCCTATACATGGAAGTCTTAGCACTGAAATTGTAACTGCAGATTCAAGCTTTTGGTTGCTGAATAAGAATGAAATAATTTTCAAAGGCTTATCTGTGCTTCAGTAATAAGAATCTATCTGGGAAGCCATATTGAAGAGCTTATTAGCCCCCCAAGAAATGTGATGGTGGTGATAAGACATAAAATAAACAGGAATTCTGCAATTACATTTCGGGAAAAAGTAATTTACTACTCACAGGACTGACTGACATTTTAGTCACATTTTCTCTTCCATTCCACTTCATTAACAGTACTAGGGCTGAGACTAGTTCTAGGAACGCAGAATAGAACAAAACACTGAATCTGGCCCCCAGGATAACAGTTTGCTAGGTAAGACATACAAGTAACCACACCGAAGTGATACAAGTGAAGACACTGAAGAGATGAGTAGTTACAAATCGGGAAGCATAAAGGTTAACAAGATCACAGAAGAGGTTCTGTGCCTCCCTTTACACAAACTTTTATACTGTACTTTTGTGCACAAATAGAATAATCATTCATTCTTTTCCTTCCCTTCTTTTCTTTTAATATACCTGAAATTGATTTGGCATAATGCCTAGATCAAATAAGTGGCATTAGAGTTGGAAAACAAAAAGAAACTTGAAAAGCTGTGGAATTTATCAGGCTTTCTCTAGGGGTAACATATAAGTTAAAGATGACTCTCCGAGTTTTGGATTTGGCCCTACATGGATGACAGCAATTCACCAAGTCAAGAAATGGATACCTTTTTGGACCAAATTTTATTTCAAAATGGGGTTTCTCTGCTTCACTTCCAGAGTAGCTAAGACTATAGATATGTGCCACTATACCTAACTTGGTCCAGATTTTAAAGAACAAATTCAAAAAGCAAAGGAAATTTTTCCAGGGTTAGCCTTAAACTCACCTTACGAAACCATACTTCAATAGGGACTTTCCACTAGTATTAGGGTTGAAATTGGGAGGGGGAGGATCAGACTGAGAATAAAGAGATATTTTAGAGGCACTGGATAGTAGTGAAAATCATGTAAAGTTGAAAGCAGGGTAACCAAATCAGTTGACAGTAGGACAAGGTAGATTAATATGAAAAAGATTTACAGTTGAAGAAAAGAAAGCAGAAAGGAAATATTTCAAAGGTGGAGGCAAACTGGGTAGGGAGAGCCAAAATAATGTAACAAAATTGTGGCAGACAAAACAATTTTAGGTAAATTACTATGATTAGCGAGTTGGTGATGAAGATAAAAGAAGTCTCAATCAGCACCAGGGTTTGACTAGAAAGAAGAAAGTGTGAAGCAAGAGGAAACTGGTTTTGGGAACAAATGAGTCATCTTCACGTAGTAGCTACACCCTGGGTAGCATGATTATTCTTAAACAAATGCAGATTTCCTGCGGTAGTAGTGATCTAGGCTTGGAAAGCACAGTGCTAATGTTAGGCTGCCAAACAGATCTAAATTAAAGGGCTCATTTCTTTAGATTGATTTTTTTTTTCAACAGTAACTTACCATAACACTATTTTGTTAGCACTGCTGGAAGGACTGTTATGCTATCAGACAGGGAACTGAAGGAAATTCAGGATCTAACTCCAGCTTTTCCTTTGGTTGGATGTACTTGCCCTGTAAAATGGAGGTAGTGTAGTACCTAATTCAGAGGGTTGCTGTGATGATGAATCATAGTTCTCTTTGAGCCCCAGTTTCTCTTGTTATAAAAAGAGGATAGTGATTTTTTTTTTTTTTTTTAGTAATGTGACTCAGAAGTATGTGGCAAAGGCACACTTAGGATCGTGTAGGAACAGTTTTTATTGATGAGAAGAGAACTGCTAGGTTATAGTTTCTCTAGTTGGCTGCTCAATTATTACTTGAGCTTTTCCTAGAGAATTTATGTAATTTTCTCATGATTTATTATTATTGTTGTAATCTAAGGAAAGGTAAATTGCCTTTTAGTATTTTTATACAGAGAAATATGCTGGTTCTATGTTGGTATCTGTTGTGCAACAGATTGTCAAAAGATCCAGTGTGTTAGGCTCTATTCTTCAGTGAAGGGATGTTATATAAATCCATTGTGAAAATTAGGGAAATTTTGCCTAGACCAGGAAAGGGAATGATAATGCTGCATTCTCCTTTGACAGAAATACACTTACACTCACCTCATCCAGAAAAACAAAGACATGGGTATAATCTAAAGAAAGACTGAGAGTCAGGGTGTTCTGCAATTAAAAAAAAAAGCCCTGGAATTACATTTACTGAGTACTTTCTATAGGCAAATCCCTCCATTGCCAATCTTCACATCCGGCAAGGTAAACAGGAGAAATCTTAAATTCAAATTGTTACATAACTTTCTAGGGTCATAAAACTATACATGTTGGAACTGGAATTTGTTTCACGATCTTGTTTGTTACCAAAGACTGTTCATTTTACCACTCTGAAAAAATACGCATTTGGAAAATTTGAGAGCCAGAGGATTTGAAGAATTTTCCTTTCTCTTCTGACAGTCTTTTGTTTGGGGTTCTGATGTTTGCACCCTAGAAACCCATTCAACGTAGGGCAATGATTTTATAGCACCCACTCTGCATACAATAATTTTGTATGCCTCACCTAGGCCGGGGCAGGGATGCAGGAGTGGGTGTTGAGGAGGGAGAGTAGAGATTGGAATGATGGAGGAGTTAGGAAGAGGAGGGTTGGTTTTTTTTACCTATAAGTTGTATATGTTCAGGACAACTCGCTCACTACTCTCTTCTCTTGCTCAGCATATTTTTTCCTCCTATTTTTGGGGAAATTAGGGTAAAGGATTTGTTGTGTTAACAGATTTTTTATAAAGATATGCACAGTAGATTCAAAAAAAGTTAAGGTGAAAGGCAATTTCTGCATCTGTTTTGGGAGGGGACCCTGTGTGTATGGGGTGGGGTGGTTATTTCGGGTCACTCGTCCAGACACAAAGGGATCCTTTTCTCCCCTCGAGAAATGAAACGAGCAGATTCCCTTACACCTCGCTCTCAGGTGCAGGGTCCAGTGCCTACAGCGTTCACGTACCTTCTGGAGAGCCGGGACAGGGGCTGAGGTCTGATGAGGGTGGGGACCGCCCGGGGTTGGTGGGAGCCGCGGGCTTCCGGCTCCCGGGAAGCGTCGTCAGGGGCGGGCCTCCGCCCGCGGGCGGTGCAGGACGCGCGGGCCCCCGCCACCCCCAGGCCGCGCTCCTTCGCGTTCCCTGCCGCTCGTGCCCGGCTCTGCCGCCGCAGTCCCCGCGCCGTAGCTGGACGTGGGGTCCAGGGGGCGCTGTGGCCCAGTGGCGCGGGTGGCTGGAGGGGCCACCGCGACGCTGGAGGCTCCGCCGAGGATCCGCGCCCGCAGCACCTCGGTCGTCCCGCCGCAGCCTGCACCCCCGAGCCGGCTCGGCGGCGCTTTCCCGGGCCCGCGTGGCTGCAGCGGCTCGGGCGGACGCTGGGCCTCGAGAGCCGCCGCTGCCGCAGCGACCGCTGCCTCTTGGGGAGTGCGAGGCGTCGCAGCGGTGCCCTCCGCAGGAGAGGAGGACGAGGAGGAAGAGGAGGACGAGGAGGAGGAGGATTCTTTCGGCCAGGGACGACTGCCCCGGCCATGGTGAAGCGGCGGCGGCCGCTGCCCAGGGTGAGTGCGGCGCGACGCTGTCCCGGGCGCGACCCTTGCTCCCGCTGCCGGTAGGGGCCTGGAGGCAGCGCTCGCACCACAGCAACCGGCCCCCTGGCGCCGCCTCCACCGGCGCTCTCGGGCCTCCGCCTTCTTCCCGCGCCCCCCGAGAGGCTGGAGGCCCGTGGGGGCGACTAGGCCCAGCGCAGCCGGAAAGCCTTCGCGGGGCCCCGGTGCTCGCGTGGCCGGGCTTGTGGAGAGGGGGCCGGCGGCGACTTTAGCGCCCTTTGGGTTTGCACGGGCGGGGCTGAGCGCTGCTTCTACCCCCGTGTCCTGCGTTGACATCCCGGGGAGGCGAAGGACGCCAGAGTGCAGGCAGCCTGGGCTTCCCCGCGCCCTACACCGACTCCCGCAGAGTCCCGAGGGCGGGAGGAGGGGAGAACTGGGGTGCAGAGAGCGCAGAGCCCTGAGCGCCCCGGAGCTCCAGGACTTAGGACCTAGAGTGTCATTCACGCGTCCGACTTTCAGGAGAACAGCCTTTTGCGTCTCCTTTGAGATGAAATTTCATCACCTGCTGGTAGCTCATCCTTTCTTCTATTACATCTTGTCTCTAAGCGTGCTCTGCCTTGGAAAAAGCCCCATTTCACCTTTGCGACGCTGAGTTTCCTAGATAAACACAATTATGAAAATATCGTTTTCAAGGATATCTTTCTTCCCCCACGCCCCGTAAGAAAGAGAGGAAACATTTTAATGTCTTAGTTCTTATTATGAAAATGTTTCATTGAAATAGAGCCTGAGAACGGATGGCAAGAGGAGTTTAAGTCCTGTTAACTATCCTGTTAGGAGGTACCTGGGACTGGGTGGGGGGGGGTACGTTCTAAATTTTAGAAGTTTAATGGTTTGTTCTGAATTAATGTGGAAAATGTTACTGTTTACCAGGTTATAACATAGGTCAGGTATTTGGGTGCTTACGTTTTATGATAATTATGATTGCAGGTTTTTGTTTTCCTGTTACGAAAGTTGTAGGATTTATAGGTATTTCTCATATAATCATGAAAAAGTCCTTTAGAAAATTCTGAAAGCAAAGAAAGTTAATGTGTCAGCTCTCAATAAATATTTAATAACTGGAGGGCACGCACTGAAAATCTCACAGATAGTACATTTTAATAGCCAGTTTGAAATGTGCTTGTCCCGACAGTGATTTTTAACATTATTATTCCTGTGTACAGTATTCAAAAATTATCTGACCTATTTAATATCCAGTGTTTTTGATAAAATCTATAAGAATATTTAACTAAAGTGTGTTGGAGCCATAGTTGATTTCATCAACTAAAACAGAATAATATGGGTAACTACCTACAGCACCTCTGACATACCTTCTACTCAGGATTGGCCAGGTCTTGAGGACCCACTATGTTAAATGCTGTGGCCTTGGATTTTTTTTTTTTTCTTCTTCAGATTTTGTTTAAAGATTTTGGGCTGAAAAAATGGACTTAGTTAAATTTTTTTGATAGTTGTTTTGTTTTTATTTTGACTTTCTGAGACAGGGTCTCACTCTGTGGTACAGACTGGCCTTGAACTTGTTATGTAGCCCAGGCTAGCCTCAACCTTTCAGTAATCTTCCTGCCTCAGCCTCCCAAGTGCTGGGCTTATAGGTATACACCATCATGCCAGGCTGTTTGGTTGTTTTTTAAAAACCTGGTTCTGGGGCTTGAATCCAAGGCTTCTAGCAGGCCAAGCAAGGCATCTACCAATTATTTACAATTAAACAATTTTTAAATTTTGGAATAAGGTGTGACAAAGTTGCTCAGGCTGGCCTCAAACTTGTGGTTCTGTGTCAGCCTTTTAGGTAGCTGGGATTATAGGTATGTGTCACTACCTCCAGCTGATTTAGGTTTTTAAAAGTGTTAATTTCTGTATGTGTTCCTAAAGACTACTACCATTAAAATCAGTTGAGAGAGCTGATTAAAATACACAGACTTCTAGCACCTGGAATCAGAATTCCAGGCATTATGGTGGTCGAAGGATTTTTTTTAAATCAAACTCTTGATTCATAGTCCTACTAAAGTTTCAGAGTCATTGATAAAAGTTAACTGACCTTGCCTGGTTGAATAAAAGGGTGTTTTCTAGTACAGCTGTCAGTCTTAAGTGGCAGTACAGTCATTTCTCATAGCATCAGATAATGGTGTTACAATGCTAGAAAGAAAAACATTTTGAGGGTTGATTCAATCAAGAGACATTTATTGAAAGCCCACTGTGGTAACTGTAGTACATAGAAGGATGCCTGGTCACTTATCTTGGAACTTAAATGGACTTCAAAGTCCTTGTCTGTAAAATGTAAATAGTTACTATTCTTACCTCACAAAGCTTTTAGGGTAAATTCATCTGAAAAAGTATTGTAGTCTTTTTTTTTATCGGTACAGGGGATCGAACTTACGGCTGCCTGCTTGAAAGGCAGGCGCTTATGCCGCTGAGCTAAATCCCCAGCCCCAAGTATTGTAGTCTTTATCAGACTTCATCAGGTTCTGTCTTAGGTGTTTGAGAAGTACAAAAATGACCAAGGCTTCTGCTAGCAGTTAGCTAATTGTGAAAGCAGGACAAGTTTAATGAACTGTTACAAAGTAAGGTTACAAAGCAATTGTAATTGATTGGGGCAGGCTGGATTTCTGCTTAGAGCTTCTGAGTGTTGTCTAGTATCTTGTCCTTTAAGAACATTGGTAAGGAGTGGGTTTCTCAGTGGTAAAGTGAGTTTGATCCCAGCCTGGGTTACATAATGAGTTTAAGGCCAGTCTGAACTACATAGTGAGATACTTACTGTTTCTTTTCTTTCTTTCTTTGTTTTTTTTTTTTTTTTTTTTTTGGTCTTTTTGAGGCAGGGTCTCTCTATGCAGTTCAGGCTGCCCTTGAGCTCATTTTGTAGTATAGGCTGGTCTTGAATTTGCAAGGGTCCTCCTGCCTCAGCCTCCCGAGTGCTAGAATTACAGGCGAGAGCCACCACGCTCATCTGAGATAGTTTCAAAAAACAAACAAAAAATATTTTAAATAACCCACTTACAAAAATTTAGCCTATTTACAGAACTGAATTATGGGAAAAGTTATACAGTAAGTATTCCCTGAAAGCCTGCAGTAAAATGAGATAAGATGAGTAAATCTTTGTGAGTACACATTAAAATCAGGAAAAAAACATTGAATTTATATGATGCAAGAGAAAAGGAAAACCTAATGCCTATTTATGGGAATCTTGAAGCATTTGGGATTTTTTGTGTGTTTGATGGTACTGGAGATTAAACCCAGTGCCTTGGTGCTGAGTTCCACTCACTTTTTTCTTTTTTTTGTGGAGGCAGGGTCTCATTAAGTTACTAAGTGGTGTGGGACTTTCTATCCTTATGCTTGCAGAGAGCTGGGATTACTGGCATGGGATTACATGTAGCACCATGCCAGGTTATATTTGGGAATTTATATTACAGAATTGTATGCAAAAATTTCTTCCTGCAAACATTTTCATGTAAAATTTTTATGTATGTTTTAAAAAATGCTTTAGGTCTATAGCTGTAATAATTTCCTTTTTTTGATGCTTTTGAGGCAGGGTTTCACTATGTTGTGTAGGTTAGCCTTGAACTCACTGTGTAGCCCAGGCTGGCTTTGAACTTGAGGCAATCTTCTGCCTTCGCCTCTCAAGTGCTGGGATTGCAGGCATGTGCTACCACACTTGGCTATGCCATAGATTTTTTTTTTTGTCTTTTTTGTTTTTATCGGTACCAGGGATCGAACTCATAACTGCATACTTGCAAGGAAGGTGCTTATGCCGCTGAGCTAAATCCCTAGCCCTATGCCATAGATTTTTAAGGATGAAAATTAAATTTATTTATTTTTGAGAAGAGTCTTAGGAATAAAACCTAAGAAATCATAACATGGTTTTTCACTAGGGAAATTTTGGATGTATTCAGTTTTGGGTTCTAGCAGCTTGAAATAGCATTAGATTTTTTTTTTTTTTTTGGTCTTTTTCTTTTTTATCGGTACCAGGGATTGAACTCATGACCACACACTTGCAAGGCAAGGCACTTATGCCTCTGAACTAAATCTCCAGCCCCAAAATAGCATTAAATGTAGACACTTTACATGTTGAGAGTACATGCATTTCAATTAAATTTAGAATGTAAGGATCTATTTTTAATAACAACTTTTTTGAGGTATAATTCACATACATGTAATTGACCCATTTAAAGTATAAAATTCAGCCTCTACTTGCAGGCTGCTGCCATTGGAAGGCTTGCTTCCTGCAGGTAGCCAGCATGGGCAGGGAGAAGCAGCCAGATAAGCCCCGTGCAACTGCAGACCACCGTTGGAGACCCCTTTTTCCTTTGGACAGTCAGCACCCACTGGGAGAATCAAGCAAAACCGCCCTGTGTGTCTCCCCCATCAGGGGAGTCTTGATGTAGACAGTAGGCTGAGAGAAGAAGCAGCTCCCCCTCCCATACACCCCCAGCCATCGGAGAAGCCTCAGTGTAGAGGCTGAAGAAGCCCACCCCCACCCCTGTTAACTCCCTGGGAGCCTGAGTTCAGAGAAACCCAGGTGCCTGGCCCATTTGCCTACACCATGGAGGGGCAGCCAACGTGGGAAGTACCTGGGACACCACAACTGGCTTGTCGGGATGAACCCAGAGAATGTCAAGATGAAGGAGCAAATCTCAGACCACCAGCCCACACATAACAAGTCTGGAAGATACAGTCATGAAATAAAATGGAAGTCACACACCTGAAATCTCTGAGAGGAGAGCAACTGAAGTAAGGAAACAGCTTTATGAGATTGTAAAGGTAATCAGGTCAGAACTAATGTCTCAGGTAAAAGAAGAAATCACAAACATAATGAAAGAGTTGTTGAGCATATCTAAAGAAAACATACATAAAAACGACGAACATAGGAAAATGATGGAAACCTTGAATGAACAATATAGGAAGAATATACAATGCATGAAACAGATTAAAAAAGATATCCAGGAAATTAAAAAGTTAATTGAAAGCTGACAAAACTGCTTGACAAAACACAGGGGAAGTGGAGCAAGAAACAAGATGCATCAATACACTGTATACAAGAAACTCATTTAACTGGAAAGGAAATTCATAGACTGAAAATCAAAGGAGAGAAATATTGTTCCACTCCACAAGAGACCAGAAAAAAGCAAGGGTAACTTGTCCATCAGCTGCAGGATGGATAAGAAAGATATGATATTTTCATACAATGAAAGCTACCCAGCATAAAGTAAGATAATTTCAAAGCTCTTGTAGATAAAGGGATGCAACTGGAGATCATGCTTTGGACTCACACCTATTATCTCCTCCCTAGCATAAAAAACTGCAGGATTTAGTGGGATCCAAAAAGCACAATAGGTATTATGAAATTGATAGGGGAGGAAATACCTAAAAAGGGCAAGTGGTAACCCCTGTTAATTTCCTCTTATCTTGTTTTGAATTCTTGTTAGGTTTGGTTTTGTTCCGTGTTGTCTTGTTAGATTTTACTGTGTCTGATGGTATGGGCAACTATTTTGAAGATACTGGGATGTATTATGGTAACTCTTGTTGATTTCCTGTTATCTTGTTTTGAAGTTCTATAATGCTTTCATTCTTTTGATTTGATTGGTTTTAGTTTGTTTTCTATTATTTGATTTCATTGTATTTGAGGGTGTGGACAGCTGTATTGAAGAAGAAAACAGGCCACTGTTCATTTCCTATTATTTTGAAATCCTGTAATGCTTTGATTCTTTTGTTTTGATTGGTTTTAGTCTGTTTGTATTGTTTTATTTTATTATGTGTGAAGATATGGACTGCTATTTTTTTTGGTGTTTTTGAGACAGGGTCTCACTGTGCAGTTCAAGCTGGATTTGAGCTCACTTTGGAGCTCAGGCTTGCCTCAAACTCGCAGTGATCCTCCTTTTTCAGTGCTGAGTGCTGGGATTGTAGGTATGTGCCACCATGCCTGGCTGGACAGCTATTTTGAAGAAATTGAGACATTATGTTAGCCATTGCTGATTTCCTGTTTTCCTGTTTTGAAGTCCTGTAATGCTTTCATTCTTTTGTTCTGATTGGTTTTATTCTATTTTGTTTTGTTTGATTTTATGAAGATTTTGTGAAAAAATGGACAGCTATTTTAAAGAAGACAAGAGACATTATTATGGTAGCCATTGTTCATTTCCTGTTATCTTGTTTTGAAGTCCTGTTACACTTTCATTATTTTGCTTCATGTTCTATGTTCTGTTTTGTTTGATTTTATTGTGTGTGATGGTAGGGACAGCTATTTTGAAGAAAATGAAAGACATTATGGTAGTGATTGCTGATTTCCTGTTGTCTTGTTTTTTGGGTTTTTTTTTTGGTATCAGGGAACGAACTCATGACCTCATGCTTGCCAGGCAGGTGCTTATGCCACTGAGCTAAATCCCTGGCGCTGTTGTCTTATTTTAAAGCCCTGCATTGCTTGCATTGTTGTGTTCTGATTTACTTTATTGTTTTGCTTTGTTCATTCTCCTTAAAATAAAAATACAGTATAAAATTCAGTGAGTTTTCATATATTCACAGGGTTGTGTAAACATCATCTTCCAGCTCTAAGCAACTACTAACGTACTTTCTGCCTCTATGTGTTTGCCTATGAATTTAAGTCACTGAATATAAATGGGATTGTGTAATGCATAACTGGTTTCTTTCAGTGAGCATATTTTCAGGATTCAGTGGCATGCATCAATGGCTCATTTCTTTTTATTGCCAAATAATTTTCTCTTGTATGATTCTACCACATTGTATTCATTCATAAGTTTGGGTTATTTCCACTTTTTGGGTAATAAGAAGAATTATTATGTAAGCATGTTTCCATTTTTTGTTATACTTTGGGTAGAATTGCGGAGTCAAAGGGTAACTCTTTGATGGAACTGCCAGGCTGTTTTGCAAAGCTGCAGTACCTGTTTACGTTTCCATCAACATATTTGAGAGCTCCAGTTTCTTCACATCCTCACTAATACTACTTGTTATCTGTCTTTTTATTATAATCATTCCAGTGAGTATGAGGTGGAAAGTCTCAACTTGACTTTCATATAGTCATTAAGTAAATTGTTGAAGGTTTTCCTTGCAGGTAAATTGCTAGATTCTTTGATGATAAGGAATGTTTTTGGCTTGAGG